GTATTCCCATGGTGCAGTGGGGGTATTCCCATGGTGCAGTGGAGGCATTCCCATGGTGCAGTGGGGGTATTCCTATGGTGCAGTGGGGGTATTCCCATGGTGCAGTGGGGGTATTCCTATGGTGCAGTGGGGGTATTCCCATGGTGCAGTGGGGGTATTCCCATGGTGCAGTGGAGGTATTCCCATGGTGCAGTGGGGGTATTCCCATGGTGCAGTGGAGGTATTCCCATGATGCAGTGGGGGTATTCCCATGGTGCAGTGGGGGTATTCCCATGGTGCAGTGGGGGTATTCCTATGGTGCAGTGGGGGTATTCCATGGTGCAGTGGGGGTATTCCCATGGTGCAGTGGGGGTATTCCCATGGTGCAGTGGGGGTATTCCCATGGTGCAGTGGGGTATTCCCATGGTGCATTGGAGTAGAGAGACAAATACTTTGCTCAGAACAAAAGAAATGACAAAATGACAAACAATTTTATGCATTGCAATGGGCTAAAATTTGTTAGCGATGGTAAAAGGGACGGTGTTACAGATACATGTATGATGGTTATGCATTTTTTTAGAGTCACATGACCATGCATTGTTATCATTTATCAAACAAGTTCAGCAGATCCTGAGCCTAATGTCTTCAATAAAGCACTGGTTAAATGTCCAACTTTACAGTAGTACTCAAGATATGATAACTATACATTTTTAATGAAGTCACATGAACACATATGGATATTAAACATGTTGATCAGATCATGAACCCAATGAGTACATGTAACCTTTTGTGATACCACATAGCTTTCTTATCAGGGTGAGTGTTTCTTATATATCCAACCCACAATTCAGAACAATACCTACATGAAACATGGTTGCATCACAGCAAAGAAGGAAATAGTTGTACTTTACCAATACATTGTTCAGGCTGACAACATTTTATTAACTTTAAGTGATAATGTTATTTCTATTGGCATACATGTATGCCATCAAAACTACAGTTTACCCCAGTCAAACGCAATAGACTTTAAAGGGAACAAGTATTGAGAGATATTGCTCTGAAACAGCATTAATTAAAACAAAATCAGCTATTTTGAATACATGTATAGTGAATATATAAAATCTGAACTTAGTCAGTCAAAGCATGTCAGAGATATGGCTCTAGAAGCCCATTCATTAAAACAAGATGACCACTAGTCAGCCATTCTGAATCTGATCTAAAAAATAAAATAAGGTGCATCAGGAACCTGTGATGTCTAATGCATGATGTATAATGAATATTTAAAATTTGAACATAATCAGTCACAGCAAGTCAGAGATATGGCACTAGAACCACATTTATTAAAATAAAATGGCCGCCATTTAGTCATTTTGTATCTTATCTGAAAACAAAATGATGTGCATCAGGTCCTATTAATGTCTAACGTATATACCAAGTTTGAACAAAATCCATCCGTAAACAGCCAAGAAATGCTTGATTTTGATGATCTTTAAAACAAAATGGCAGCCATTTGGCTATTTTGAATCTGACTGTGAAACAAATTGATGTGCATATGTATAATATCATGTATGATGTATGTGTGGAGATTGATTGTGATTGGTCCAGGCATTTCTAAGATACAGGTCCGAACACCCGCAAGGACGCATGGACAGAAGCACGGAGGTCCAAACATAAGTCCCCGTTTACGGACTGCGTCCTAACGGGGACTAATATGACAGGATTGGAAAATTATAAGGGTGACGGGATATGTAAGCTTTGTAATGAGGATATTTATCACATTTATCTTTTTTTGCAAATCAACTAACCACTTGAGAAGTAAATTTTATTCAGCACTGACCAATGCAGTAGTGGAAAGTGGTGGAGAACCAACTATTGTAGATTTTTTTTCAGTGGAAATTAATTTCAAATTTAATTTTCTCTTCAATAATGCTTTATTAGCAATCAATGACAATTGGGAAATAAAACATTAACAACAATTTTAAATTTTCGCACTTGCCTATGGAAATTCAGAAACTAGAAATAATTATTTACATGTATGTGCATTTATAGTTTGTGTTTTTTTTTCTTGTTGACTTGCATGTTTTTTATTTTTTATGACGTTTCAAAGGTTAATAATAAATAAATATTAACATTATGCACGATAGTACAATCTTGGCATAATTTTACTTTCAAGCTGGGCATCAGCTAGCTTTGCTTTTTCATGAAATTGTCATCAATAATTTTAACTTATTTTTTGAAGTATTTAATATGAGACATATTTAGGCATACTACTGCTTAATTTAGATTAAAATTAAAGATTAAAAAGTGAGAAAGTAGGCTAGCTACAGTATAGGCAAGATTAAAGCCAACTAAATGTCAATTTAAGCTTAAACCGTACATTACATTCTATACTATATAGTAGAGGCAAGCAGTGTTCATGGAAGGTAAGATTTGGTCAATATTTATTTGTTTTTTGTTTTTAATGTCTGTAGCCTTGAACCAATCACAAAAAGCTGGTGTTATGAATTATTATTAAACAACAAACTAACAACTATTGTCTCTCTGCCTTGCAGTGTTAACTGAAATTTAGTTTGTAATTAATAAATATTGCAGGGACATATACCATACTTTATAATATCCGACTAAGCACTCAATGCACTCAGCTATAAAATTAGTGTTTTTTTAGGAGGTGGGTATTTTCTCAAGCCCCCCTTAGTACTCCTCTCAATTATCCAAATGACAATTTTTGTTTTTTTAGGAGGTGGGTATTTTCTCAAGCCCCCCTTAGTACTCCCCTCAATTATCCAAATGACAATTTTTGTTTTTTTAGGAGGTGGGTATTTTCTCAAGCCCCCCTTAGTACTCCCCTCAATTATCCAAATGACAATTTTTAATCACCATGGGAATATCTGCTAATTGGAGAAAATAAAATTGTGAAAATCTGTTAAATAATTGAGTGGTTGAATTATTAGAATACCCAGTGGACAAACTTTAAGTTTTTACGGAAGTTAGCAGAACAAGTCAACAATGCAAATGACAATGAGTCATCACAGCATTTTCATTGTTGAATGATAGCGATTATAGTGTATTCAGGTACAATTGCTATCTCTCAATTTAATCTTTTGACAATCTGATGTCTGTATTGCGCAGAGTAAAAAATAATTGGTGGTTCATCATTATACAGTTCTTTCATTAAAGTCTGCCTAACAGGTTATATTACTTCCTAGTAATGATGCATGGCTCTGAGAGGCATGGTATGGTTACTTGTATAAAATAGGTAACGACAATTGGTAAAATACACCTAAACAAAATAATACAGGTTATAAAATGGAGTAAAGCAGGCAGTTTTCTTTCCAGGAGTTATTCCAAAGGTTTGAATGAATATTTACTGTACAGAGAACTAACTTCACATCAACACGGTCACAGCTCACAAGACAATGGACTTAACAATTTCCACTTATTAATGTACATGTATGTTACAGCTTTTCTCAGAAAAAGGTCAATAATTTTTTGGTAAAATTTCTTTTGAAATTATAAAAAATTCTGTTTTTTTTTTTAAATTTTCTGAATTTTGAGATTAATGCTATTGACGAATTATAAAACTAGGTTCTGTCACAGAAATATTTTTCTTTCTTTCTTTCTTTCTTTCTTTCTTTCTTTCTTTCTTTCTTTCTTTCTTTCTTTCTTTCTTTCTTTCTTTCTTTCTTTCTTTGCTATCAAACCTTTAAAAGTACACATTTCATAGCACATTGACAATGAAATACAACTTGAAATGTCAATCATATGACGAACCACAACACTAAAATAACATGATTGTGATAGTTTTTGTGAGTCTGACATTGAACAGTACTTTATTGATTAAAGATTAGAGCACATGAACTGGCACAAACATTTTACATAATTGTAAAAGTTTCAAACTTTGTGCTTGACAAGAAAAAGTTGGCAAAGATTTAGACAAATTAGCACCCAGGGAACTCTCCCTAAAGATTAAATAATTTTTTGTTTGAACACATTTGTGAATAACCGAGAAAAACAACCGAGATACTGTGGTAATATTGAAAACATGGTTAATAACTATGGCACTTTCAGGTATAATAATACTGTGGAATACTTTATTTTCGCTGGAATTAATTTTCACTGAAAAGGCGTTTTTGGGCGTTTTGTATGGAATTTATTTTCACTGATTTTTGATGAGTTTAATGTGAAATATAGGAAAAAAAGTATATTCGCCGGATTTTATTTTCACGGAATCATCCCTCCAGCGAAAATAATTCTACAGTAATTTATTTTGCTGGAGTTGTATTCAATTTAGATATTCAGTTTACAAAATGTAATATACTGGGTATGTCCTAGATTTTGTTATAAAATAACCACTATCCAGTCTATAAAGGGTAGTGATCTTTGTGCAGAGAATTTAGTATACACAAACAATATATCTTACACATGTTGTACATGTCACATGGCACTAATATCATACAATGATATGACAATAAAGTTTGTTGACCCTTTAAAGATAAGGGTGAATATACAAGGCAGAATTGTTCCATCAGAGACAATAAGAAAATTACTCGTCTATGTGAAACTGAGGCAGTATTTTGTTATCTGTAAAGTAGAGATCATCATGCAGGCCTTGGCTGGAACTAAAAATGTCTCTTGAACCAAGTAATGCGAGTGATCAGAACGGTGCTGTTGAAATCTCCTCAAAATGATATGGATTGAAAGAATGGTATCGGTAATTATCTCTTCTGGATGTTAATTGAGGCGAGTGTTAGGCAAGTGGAACATTCACTCGCTTTAGAAAGTGAGACGAGAGATAGCATCAAATGAACAATTACATGAATTGTTTTGACTGTCTCATGTAAAATGACTTAATACCAAATGTTTCAGATGAAAATAATTTTATTGAATATTAATTATACATTCATAAAATAACACGTTTCTTTTTTATTTTGATTAAGACAATATACACCATGTCCCATATCTTATGAGAACAATTTATAGAAATACAACAACATATAAAGTAATAATATAAATAGCCTTACCTTGCCACTAAGTAAGGATGAACTGCTTCTGCTACATCTGTCATGTGTATGTACATATTTAAAACTTGAGGCAGGTAAAAATCAAACTCGGTATCACTAAAACTAAAAAGTTTATTTCCTGTGGGAAGAGAAAAAAAGCAGTATGCTTGACTCAGAAGAACAGCTTATTCATGTTCCTCCTACAACAGAACTTCATGGAAAGGAAAATAATGTCTGTATACCTGACGATGTGAAATGTTACTAAAACAATTTTTATGAATTTGTTTTTTAAAGATAATTCAAGATGTACAGAGCACCACAAACACCATAATTGAGGCTAAAAGTTAGCAGTAACACAATCCACAGAGACTACCAATTCTTGTGCTAATGCTACCATTTTCCAAAATATTTTCAAATACATTTTTGTAATTAAAAATGGCTTTCATTGATACACATATACTACAATAAAGTATGAGTTGTTCTACACATACATGTAGTGAGTTAGCTATTTTCCATGTATTCACAATTGTAAGCTCCAAACCACTGATGAACAATTTAACATATTGTCTGGCTACCAATTTTTGCAATTGGCAGCCCGACTTAGGCTCCAAGAAAAAATGCTAATGAGCCCGGAAACTGATAGTGTCTCTGTGTAGCACAAAGTTGAAAATCAAATGTCAAGGTTATTTTAGCAATGCACTGAAGGTACACTAAGGTTACACCACAAGATAACTCGGGTGTGTTGGTGTTTGACCATTTATGTTGCTATGCTTTAAATCACCTCTTGTAATAGCAAGGGTGTACAAATAGCAACATGTAGGTACATACTGTGATTAAATGTCAAAAACTGACAAGGTGAATTTTGTCAAGGTGACAAAATGATATGCTGAAAATTAAAATATAACTTACCAATATAGCTTTGAACTCCTTGCTCTTTAGATTTATACAGATATATAATAGCCATAGAAATGTCAAATAACTTAGACTCAAATAATCGTAATAGCCATGACTGCCTTGCTTGTGGAGTCGCATCTGTGAATTTTCCTATTGCTCTGCCTGATGGTGGCTTTTTTGTCACAGCATTTTTGGAATCATCTGTTCCATTTTCACTGACGTGTATTTTTCTCAGCGACAAAGACAGATCAATTTCGTCTCGGCTGAGTCGTACCCTGGGAGAATTATTTTCAGACGGAGGACATTGCTGAGGAACCAAAACTTTTTCATGACATGTTTTTATTTGCACTGCATCATGTGAATTGACTATAAGATCATCGTTATTACACACAGATGATGTCTGACTATCTGTCACAATTGAATTATCATCATCGTCATCGTCATCATCAGAACTTTGCATTGACGTTTGCACTGCAGATGAGCGTCTGCCACCTCCGTTCACCACTGTAATATCATTCCCACCATTTGGCATGACAATATCTCCCAGCCTTTTGGTGTCTTCATCTGTTATTATATGCGGAACCTCTATTATATTTGCAGCCATCATATTTGTGGAGACCAAACAACTCTTAATTCATCTTCTAGTTACACAGCAATTGCTAAAACCTACAAGCCTTTGAGTTTATACTTTTAAAATGAGCACTGCCATTCACACCTAACAAGACAAAAACAAATGAAATGCATATGACAGTGTGTCTCAATAACTGATCAATTGTTTGTGAAGACATCCGATCTGACAAACAAACAAGTGAACAAAAACTACAGTATTTGTTGCATATTGAATCATTGAAATATTACTTCTAGCCATATAAACACCTCTGTAATAAATGTAAGCGCATACCAGTACACTACTAATTACGATAGTGACAGGCATATTTACCATCTCTGTAATAAATGTAAGTGCATACCGGTATACTACTAATTACGATAGAGACAGGCATATTTACCACCTCTGTAATAAATGTAAGTACATACCGGTACACTACTAATTACGATAGTGACAGGCATATTTACCACCTCTGTAATAAATGTACCTGGGTAAGTGCATACCGGTACACTACTAATTACGATAGTGACAGGCATATTTACCACCTCTGTAATAAATGTAAGTGCATACCGGTACACTACTAATTACGATAGTGACAGACATATTTACCACCTCTGTAATAAATGTAAGCGCATACCGGTACACTACTAATTACGATAGTGACAGGCATATTTACCACCTCTGTAATAAATGTACCTGGGTAAGTGCATACCGGTACACTACTAATTACAATAGTGACAGGCATATTTACCACCTCTGTAATAAATGTAAGTGCATACCGGTACACTACTAATTACGATAGTGACAGGCATATTTAAGGATGTAGTAGAGGTTTTTTTTTTTTGAAAATATCAAATTTACTTTTTTCCCCACATTCTCTTATATAAAGCATGCATTCAACTAGAAAAAAACAATTGTAGCAATAGTTTTAGTGGATAATAAATTTTAAGTAAATCTGAGATACAGTGTGTTTTATGTTTTTTTGTGATTTTTCACACGCAAGAAAACATCGGTATTTGGGTTTAGTCGAGAGAGTTGATCAGACTCCCAACTGCTTCACGACATTGATTTTTGACATAGCTGCTAATGAAATCTGGCAAAGATAGTTTGGTTACCACTTTGACTTGTATTGGCAGTAAAATAAATTTAGCAATTTTGCAACAAATCACTAAAGGCCACAATGAATATACAATTGTGGTTGAAATCTGCACGTGTTATCAATATTTGATCACTCATTGAACAATGTTTTATAGTGACGTCAGTTCTATTTTTAGTAAAGTCTCCAAATCAGGACAAAAAATTTAACTACATACTAAAGTGAGTTTTATGCAGTCTTGGTGCCACATTTCTGACTGAGTACTTCATCAACTCAGCCATTTTGTTCATTCCTAGTTTGTACAGTGTAAGTGTTATAATCACTAAAATAGTCTTCAAAAACAACTACCAATACAATGACTTGGTAGGACATAAACATTAGATATGATGTACCAAAAGTGAAAACTTACGCTTGCTGCAAATTTGTGCATGTTCCAGCAGGTCACACAGTGAGCATAATTAACTCATTTGAAAACATTTAGGTCCAACATTTTGCATGCTTTATGTACTTTTCTATTATTTTTTGATAATTAACGATGACAACAGTTGACTTTGGCACTCAAACAGTTACCTAATAATTTTTGAATAGGCCTGAACTGAAACATATAAAACATAATAAAACAACAAGCAGCCTATTGGCTGAGATAGCTCCGCTGTTAGCAATGCACATTTCAAAGAACAAACTAAAGATATCAATAGAAAAAAAACAATATGTATAGTATCAACGCAATCAGTCAAAAATATCCCTTTTTATCAAAAATTATTCATCAAAATTAGATAATTGAAGATATCATCATGAAATGAACAAATCTGAGAGAGGTCAACCTGTAGTACCTATATATACATGTATATATATCCTTATATATAAGGAGTGTAATACACTTGTCGAGCACTCTACGATTATCCTTATATCAAAGTAATCAGACTTGCAGTTTTCAATAAGAATCAAAAATATGACTTTTTACCAAAAATGACGAAAATATTCACCAAAATTAGAGAATTAAAGATATCATCACAAATCTAAGAGAGGTTTGCCCAAAGTACATATATACCAAGTATCAAATCAATAAGAATTACAAATGTAGGCGAGGGTTCTCCGAACCCGCCTATTCACATAGTTCATACCCACAATAGACTCCGGTCAGTCAAAATGACTATTTTGAACTGTAGGCATTAATCAGCGATTCTGCCGGTGACGGAGAGATAGAATCCAGGTCAGGGGAAGCCCCATGACCTCAAGATTCTTTTACCCCTTACGTCACGAACCCACGTGACCGAGGCCACCTGGCCGTCCTTCACTCTGGTTCCTTTCGCTCCACCTCGAGGACTTAGACCAACGCGACGGAAAGAGTGGGGAGGTTGGGGGGACCCGGAG